AATGCGGATTGTAGGTGTAACAGGCACTGAGAAACGGCAACTCATTGGACGCCTAGGCAGAGAGGCAGAAGTGGCATCAATGTGTGGATATGGAAGATTGATTGTATATTGTTTAACGTCCCTTTCGAGAATTTTTCAATCATATGGAGACGCCACCACTTGCTGGTGGAGAGCTGCGAATTTTTGTCCATTGCTCGGCACTCAGGGCCATTGAGCTGCGAGGGATCTTTTTCGTGCCAGCACTTAAATATACTGCTACACGGGACCTCGGTTTATACGGTCTCATGCAAAAGGACCGGTCTCCATGTCCCACAGTGGATATGGAAGAAGAGAGAAAACAGTGGAAAGTGCAACACTAAGACTCTATGTGTGTTTGCTTGAGAATGAACATTTAATGTGTTGCAGCGAAGGCGGAGAGCTATTCCGGGATTAGACTTGATCACCCCAGTTGGTGTAGTGGACAACGTCGAAACAACCATTGAAGGAGGATCCACCTGAGGACGGGACCATGACACATCAAATATCACCAAGATGGATATAGATATTTCCATTCTGGACAACCAGTGACGGCCAGGAAGGTCTGGATGACGACTGTGAATAGGGCAGTGACAAACTGGATAGTCAGGAGACAGTCTGGACAGACAGGCAATCAAGGTTGTGGAGATTTAGCAATCCAAAGCACATCTTCCTTGAGGAGAAACTTTTAGAATCCGCTATACATAGAAAGATACCCCCGGGGTCGCGCGAGAGCGGGGGAGGATGAGCGACCTGTTTTGGAATATGTAACGGTAACAACACAGGGCCGACCAAGGATAGAGAGTTTGAATTTGAGCACATGTAGTTGTTGAAAGACCTTAAAGAATGTTTGTTTGTCTGTATGTTGTTTAACGCCCCTCTCGAGAATTTTTCACTCATATGACGACGCCACCACTTGCTGGTGGAGAGCTGCAAATTTTGTCCTATACTCGGCACTGAGGGTCATTGAGCAGCGAGGGATCTTTTTCGTGCCAGCATCTACTGTGACACGGGACCTCAGTTTATAAGGTTTCATCCAAAGGACCGGTCTCCACGTCCAACAGTGGGATTCGAACCCGCGACATAAGGATTAACTCCTAAAGCAGACTCTTTAATCACTCCGCCACGCGGGCGACCTCTTAAAGAATGAGTGGGGACTGAAATGAGCAGGGGCTGAAAATACTGTACACATGCGGAAAATGGGCTGCGCCCCTATTTAGCGACTGACGCAACACACAGGGCAACCTTGTGAAACGGAGGAGGAGGAGGTGGTCCAGGAATCTAACCACAGCGACCACAGCGTCCAAGTCCCAGTCAACGAGGGGGCAGCCAAGGGGAAGGGGTAACACCAGATGAGCAGACACGTTAGCCCAAGAGGCAGCACGTTGAATCAGAGAGGAAAGCAAAGATCAAGTGGCCAGCTAAAAGAAATAAGGAAGAATAGAAGATGTTTAACAATGATGTAGATGCAATCCTAAAAGCATCACTGGCAGGAGGAATAGACAAAAAGATCAAAGGCATTGCAACGATAATATACAACGTGGGATTGTACAGATTTGGAAAGGAAGTAAAGCAGAAATCAAGAAGAGTAGTGAATAAGAACAGGAGACAAAACTGGCAAGACGATTTAGTATATGAGAGAGGGGGAACGACCTGCATTGGTTGAATTAAGGACTAACATTAGAGAGAAGTTAAAGACCATGCCCCATAAGTTAGTCCAACTTACACTACAGCGCTACCATATATCAGACAGGATTCGGAAGCTGCTCATGAGTTACTTTGACAGGCTTCAATTACGGTTCACTACCTAGGACTTCAAAACATCGTGACAGCGCCTAGAAGTAAGGATCGTCACAGGTTGTACAGTATCAGTAATTCTGTTCTCTGCAGCCATGATTTAGATGGTGAGATCGGTGGAGAAAATGAGCAGAGGTCAATGGATGAAGGCAGGCGTGAGCCCCCTGTCCGAGTGTTCATGGACGATATGACAATGAGCACAAAGACCAACATAGAGCCAAAATGAACCTTGAAGGATATCATCAGGTGGGCCCGCATGAAGATCAAGCTAACACAGTCTAGGAGCTTCATAATGAAAAAGAGGAAAACCACAGGAGAGTAGTTCAGGGTTTGAGATGGAGATTATCCCATCAGTCTCAGAAAAACTGGTGCCTGCAAAAGTTCTTTGAGGATTCACCGAGTGATAAACAGAATGTTAACGAAGCCAGTAATCAACTTGAGAAGTGGATGAACACCATAGACAAAAGTGCCTTACCAGGAAAATACAAGGCATGGATATACCAGCACGATGTGCTCCCACGAATTATTTGGCCTTTTCTTGTGTATGATTTGCAAGTGACATCAGTTGAATTGATGTAGAGTACCTCTGAAGATGACTGGAGGTTTCAAAAAGCTTTAGAAGCATTGGTTTATACAACACAGGAACAAAGCTGCAATTACCACTGACGTCAACCATTGAGGCATTCAAGGTCACCGAGGTCAGGCGGTATCTGATGTTACGCGACAGTAATCATTCCAAGGTACGGGAGGCAAGAGTGAACATCAAGACGGGCAAAAAGTGATCAGCAAAGAAGACAGTGCAAGAGGAAGAGTCACGCCTGAGACAAGCGGACATTGTGGGAAGTGTGGCTGTAGGCAGGCAGGGAATAGGAATAATACCATTGACAAGATGGGGTACATCGTTGGAAGTGAAGAAGAGGCAAACTGGTGCGGTGGAAGAACACACAAGAGTGGTGAAGGCAGTTGGTATGAAGAAGCAGGGAAGCTGGTAAAACTGGGAACGTGCCCGACAGAAAAAGTTATCTTGGAACGAGATCTAGATAACAGAGCCCTAGAGACTGCAGTTTCAGCCTCAGTTAATTTATGACGTGTTGCCAACCCCAACCAATCTGACAACATGGGGCATGAAGGACGATCCAATCTGCTATCTTTGTGGTAGACCAGCCAACCTGGAACATATCTTATCTTCGTGTTCAGTAGCTTTAACAGATGGAAGATAACATGAAGACACAAAAAGGTCTGTTATTGCACACTTACTTGAAAAAGCAGGGAAGAAACCTCGGAAGACTAAGAAATAGTGAAGTTTGTAACTTTGTTAAGGTTGGTGAACAGAGTCGTGCTGGGGGAGTGGAAGGAGGTGGACTGTTGGGAACCGCCAGTGACTGGGAAATGTAAACCGATCTCAACAGCCGAATGCAGTATTCACAAGAAATAGCATCTACCAATCACAAAGCAGATATTGTTATTTTGTCTCCCGTAGTCCGGCTCGTTGTTATGCTGGAACTTAAAATTGAAGAAGCCCATTAGCAGAAAATGAATAAGTACCAGGATCTGGCTGCAGACTACTGTAAACCAACTTTTATTCGCGACGACTTTTTTCGCGATTTACAGGGGTTAAACTAGTTCGCGACGATTAATTTTCGCGAGCAAGCCTTTTTTGATCTGTTGATAATAGACATAGAGACTTTAAAGACTGGTTCGCGGCGAGAAATATTCGCGATGACGAGACTCTCGCGAACTTCGCGAAAATTTCTCGCACGCGAATAAAAGTTGGTTTACAGTATCAATAACGAGGCTGGAGAGTGTGGTGTCTCCTAGTGGAAGTTGGCTGCCGAGGTTTTGTAGGGCAATCTATGTTGAGGGCCTTGCGGATTGTAGGTGTAACAGGCACTGAGAGACGATAATTCATTGGGCGCCTGGTCCGAGAGGCAAAGTGACATCCATATGGATAAGGAAGAAAAAAGAAGAACAGTGTAAAGTGCAACACTAAGACTCCACGTGTTTGCCTGTGAATGAACATTTAATGTGTTGCAGTGAAGGCGGAGAGCTGAGTGGTTCCAGGCTAGGACTTGATCACCCCAGTCAGCGTACCTACGGAGGTTGTAGTGGACAACGCCGAAATAACAACTGAAGGAGGATCCACCTGAGGACGGGACCATGACGCATCAAATATCATCAATATGTATATAGATCTAAGTTAATGGTATATTGCTTAATTAATAAGGAAGCTGACGATAAAGAAGTTGATGTCATAATGGTTGCCATAAGTTTAGCTGTTGTTTTGTCATTAATGTCTTTACTTATCGTCACATTTCTTGTAACTTTTTATTTAATTTAAGAAGAGGTTTACTACTGGACAAGTATTACTGGATCGAAAAGAAAGCGGGACTAGGCGAATTGAATTTGATATTGAAAATTACTCGTGTAACTGATGGCCAGTTATGAAAGTAACGGAAACGATAGTAATTGACAAGAGCAACACTTGAAAACTACGCCAACCGTTTAAAAAAGTTTAACATTCAAAGTTGTTAAAAAAAACAAATCTTGACACTGACGCCAAGCTGATATCTGGATTATTCAAAAGGGGGAGGGGGGGATAAGGCGGGCAAAGTGCCTATAGATCGACAGACAAGAAGTGTAAAAATAAATCTCAATTATATCCAAATTTTATTTGATATTTCATCTATACTAAAGTATACTAAATGTAAAATCTCTACAATTTACAAAAATCCAACAAAAACTGAAAATATATGCCTATGGAAAAGCTTACACACACTAAAAAGAACAAAAACGATCATTTTCTCATACTTTAACAATTGTTTTTAATATGAGTGGGTCTTCGCTCCATTTTTTTGAAAGATAATTCTAAAAGTTTGCAATAAAATATACATTTTTGCTTTACAAAAACATGGAGCGAAGACCCACTATACCTTAAAAGTACACTTTTATGGCAAAACATTCGTATATTTCCGAGAAATACTTCAAGTCCATTAAGTCAAGGTTCATATCACAAACATGATCATCATGAGCCATGTAGCATAGTGGTCAGCGCGTTAGTCTCAAAGCAGTATGATTCTTCGGATTTTTATTACTGGGGTTCGAATCCCACGAATGCCATCTAATATTTTTATAAAAGAAACATTTTTTACGAGATTTTTTCTCTCTCAGAAGTTTTTTTTCCACATAATTTCACAAATTTCCATAATGAGAAGTTAATATAAAAATTCAATTCACATATTGAATATGATTTCTTAATATCTGACGCTATAGGCATTCTGCCCGCCTTGTCCCCCATCTTCTTTTATTTTTGTCTCCCAAATTTTAAAAATCAACATCATAACTATAGTGATTATAATGAAGATCACAGGCAAGGGTTCTACATTGTCATTCACATAAATATGATAAAAAAAAAGTTAACTGTTTTCTCTATACATATATTTTTGAGTTATTGATAAAGAAGAAATAAATTTGCTCAATAAAATCACAATTAAGAATTCACAGTAACACCTCTTCCTGTTGTGTTTTTCTTACTGGAGTATTGCAATTGTCTCCGGAGTTTGGCTTTGTTTTCCACTGGTTTGGAATATCCTGATGACGTCATACTAGTGGAGCTATTACTAAACAAAGTATCGGTCGGATCATCCACCACCTCGATGTAGGAGTGCAGCTTAGGTGTTATATTTAAATAATTACTTTCTTCTACTCTTTTGCTTTTGTTCCTTTTATTTTTTGAACGATTAGCTCGCTTTTGAGCACTTCGTTTGGACGAGAGCACCGCAGCCCGTGAAATGGAATTGTCAAGATGTAAAGATTTCTCTCTTGATTGGGCTCTCTTTCCGACATCGGGTTGATGTGCCGTGGAAATATTCATATATTCGCATTCAACGTCCATATTTTCGTTTTCAGATTCCATAATCACATTGCCATAAATTGGAGGTTCACTGCAGTCATCTGTCATGGTTAGCCTCGGTATGGCATACCCTGATGACGTTGTGCTTCTCAAATAATCAACAGCTTCCGTGGCCAGTGACAGAGGATAATCATATATGGTTTGTGATTCAGTTTCCAACGAAGAAAATTCGGATGACCTGTAACTGATTGAGTATTCAGCCTTCCTTTTTGGTGGTGAACTAAAATGAAAAATAAAAATTATAGATGCGATTCAAAGAGGATGAAAGGTAAAAATGGTTGGGCAAAGTTAACTCAAGATTGTAAACTTAAGTTGTGGGCGATTAAGTTTTTGTCATAAACTAAAATGCCAAAAGAACGTGTGTTATATCGGATGGTGAATAAGACTATAAAATACTAGTACATCAGTAATTAAGTACTGTAAGTGTACCTTTTCCTTCGATGACAACAGAACGTCACTGTGACAACAAGTAGTGCTGTGGACAAAACACCGATGATCCCATCTTTTATATAAGCTGTAGTGAAACAATCATAATTCTAATTGAAAAGTACGTTTACAGATCTTAAATTGACTTCATCATTGAGTTGAAGGGTCCAAATAATTCGAACAAGAAAGATGGTTCCAACAGCAATAGATTTAGATATTGAAGCTTAGAGATGTGGTATTATTTACAGAAATATAAAGGTGGTGCACAGGTGGAATAGAAACAAAGACACAGATATAACATCTGCAACAGAGATATAGAAATTGTACTTACCAACAACACCAACGAAAATTGACGTGATCAAGGAAGAGATGTTACGATATGTACCGACAACCATGACAAATGAGATGCAAAATTGAAACCCAACAATGGAGACGTCAAGATGGTATTGAAAACATGCTTAAAGTGATGATGTATCAATAAAATCGATGTAAACAGAAAATTCTAGAACGAAATACACAGTATAATGAAAATAGATATACACATATGTATATATACACTATACATTAAATGAAAAAATACATGTTTTTCGTTATATATACCATATTATGCAGTATGACATCAAGTTTAAATGTCATAAACAGAAAACAGAGATCAGATGATACAAATAACAGATGAGCAAAGACCCAAAGAATATAGTTAAGGATTTATACAAGTATGTATATATAATTAAATGTATAGATTCTACGGAGAATCATAAAAACCCTCATATATTAATGATGATTGACAATAGGACAGCTTCTCCAGGAGTTCTGGTGGTCCAGGTGTAGCATCAGTTGTTAGAGCTGCTGTGGTTAATGGAGACTTGGTTGTAACAGGTGACGGGGGACAGAAAAGAACCTTGACAATTGGATCTTTACCTTCTTTTCTGTAGTCTCTGACTGATAACGATAAAACAAGCATTAATGACGTGACTTGTAAAAACATATGTTCAAAAGAAGACCATTCAATATTTTTGTGATGGACAATTTGTAATGTATGAATTCCTTTTAATTGATTTTCATAATATTATTACCAGAACAGCATTCTCTCTTTCGAGAAATTTTTAACAAAGGGATCAAAATATAATATACATTTGGATGTTTTACTGACCACTGTATACAAAGTGCTAATCGAAAATCTACTTGATTTGGATCACTTGCTATATTGCTTTGGGTACTCTGATGCATTATGGGTAAAAAAGAAAATTCTGCTAGCAAAATATAGGTAAAAGTAATTTTAAGAAATTAGAAAACTTATCAAACCTTTATAGAATCAATGTAAATTTATTTGAGAAAATTTCTAAGTTGAAAAATGTTAGAAATTCGATACCATTCTCATTTACTAAGTTTAAATGGGATTTTCGCTCATTTTGAATTATTTCAATTGTTCTTAATTTTTTCAAACTATATTCTGTTGTAAAAGTTATTGTAACTTAGTTTTCGCCTCAATTCACCCACGAAACATCGTCTGATTTCTATGAATTACGCTTTTTAGAGAAATTGGGCTATTCTTGTTTTGAGTGAATGCTATACTATGTTTGCAACATATTTTTGCGATTGCTATACTTTTTTCGGATCCTTTTTGTGATTTGCATGAAATTAAGATTAATTGTTTTCTGATAAAATTA